AGGTAGCCATTAAACAACTCTTTAAAATCTCAGATCTAGCACACTGTAAGTTCAGATTTGACTCTCAGTAGCCTAAGTCCCCGATTTGATTTGGAAAGCAGTTTATTGCCCAAACTTTCCTGGATTCATTACAAAGCTCTCTTTGGCAATTCATACTTTTCTTCTTATGCTTAATGTCTCCATAAGAGTACCTACTTATTACTTTCTCTGGAACACCTATGTATTATGCTATCATAATTGTTTCCTAGCTATATTATAAATAGAATCAACATATTTTTATTTAATAACTTCTGTAAATATCTAAATCAATGAAATATAATATCCCTCTCCATGAACATACTAGTGACAGAAATTGTTGAAATAAAGAAATGGTAAGAGAATTACAAATATGATTAAAATACTAAAAACCTTTGATTCCTTGAGTAGGAAAACAGGTAGCTTTTCTGGACCTCATGTTTGTTTGAAATGACAACGAAAATCCCTCCTTGTTATTGACACCAAAATTCAATTTGAAAAATGCTTTTTGATAATGTGCAAAGCAGGCCTAAGAAAGATATTAATTTTTTGAGTAAAATTATTTAGCCAGAAAAAAATTTTTGAACTCCTTAACTCATCTACAGATGGCCACTATCCACAGTAAGAACTTGTAGACTAAAATATTTGTTCTATTGGATAAATAAGGGAATGATTCAGAATTTCTTTTCTTTATTCCTTATTAATAATTATCTTAGTTGTCCAAGTTTGTTAGGGATACCTGAGATATAAGTATTATAAAGTTACTAATAATTTTAGTTACTAATTTTAGAACTCCATACAGCTAGTGATTTTTGGTCAAATCTTTATCAAATCTATTTCAAATAGGTTGACATATAAATAAAATTTATATTATAAGAAAACACATTCTAAATTAGGGAATATTATTGTGGCTTAGAATATATATTGAGTCAAGAGGGAAAGCGATATCAATGAGGTAAATAATAAGACTGGATTCAGATGATGGAGTAAACTACCATAACTATATTTATGTTAAATAAAAAAAGTTGACATTATTATAAAGATAAATTAGAAAATATATAACAAAGATCTGAATTAATGCAAATCAATATTGGTGCCTCAACAATTAGAGCAGAGAGAAGAGAGAGGAGATACATATTTAAAAGAAAAGGATTTTTAAAAACAAAAATAAACAACGATTTTTTCTTGAAACAACGATTTTGAAAACAAACCCATAGACCCTTAAGACAGAACTCAGATGATAAATGAGTTTGTGTGGAAATTGGGGATGGGAGCAGAAGTAAAAATTCCCAAAGACAGTGGTGGAGGGATACTAGCACTTTGGTAATGGATGTCATATGATGCATTGTACTCCTAATCAAATAAACATTTATAGTCTCGTAAACCAATAAAAATAAGAAAACATTGATAACAAAACCTTCCAAATTCTGTGAGTGTGTTTGTGTGTGTGTGTATTTGAAGGTAGAATTCACACATTTAATGGTCAATTTTTATTATTAATTTTAGTTATTTAAATTGAGCATAGCCGCTTGGATGTTAATATCTGACTCCAGCAAATTGTTGGCAAATAACTTTAAGAGCTGTACAGATAGCTCAAATGTTAAGCCACATGCCTGAGTCATGCAAGGCACTGTATGCAGTCCAAGAACTACATGATCCCCCGCCAACCCCCCTCATTACCATAGCAACTCTAGGTGTAGCACTTGTGGCCCTTGAATACCACAAAGCCTGAATAGCACTGCATGTACAGGTATAAGTGATGCTGAGAGTAGTCCGGCCCTCCAGTTCTGCTAAATATGGCCCCTATATGAATGAATTTAATTTAGAAACTGCTTAATTCTCAGTCATTTATCATAGGTGATTTTATTTTTTGTTGGAGGGGTTGTACCTGTGTATGTATTCACCAAAAAGAGAATGAGAGAATGAGAAAGACACACAGAGAGAGAGAGAGAGAGAGAGAGAGAGAGAGAAAGAAATGACCCTGAGATGCAAAATTTCATTTTTACTCCTTGAATTATTAATACTGAGCATCACCAACACCTGCACCACAAAGATAGACTCATTTAGTGTCCAGACAGGTGTATACACCTTCTGTTCTGACCTACTCTGCTGGATAACCTGCTGTTTTTTTTGACACAAACCAACAAAACAGAACTAAGAGAAAAATTTGTTGACTATAAAGCAATAGAACAGTATAATGCAATGACCTTGTTCCACATTTTTCTGAAGATAAAGGATAATAGTTATCATTTAATAAGCAGTTAAATGACATACAGAACATTGCCAGATTCTGTCATATTATTTATTCCATTAACTCAGGATACCTTAGAGGTAAGTGACATTACTATTACAATTTATGTATAATAAATTGAAACAAAGCTCTAAACCAATTCACTAAACAACTAATAACTTAAAGGGATATCGTTCTTTTCCATAATCAGTCTTTGCTTCCACAATGATCACAATCACAATCACGATCATCCTGTTGTTTGTCGATTGCCTCAAGCAGGCCCCAGTAATGTCTCCTTCGTCCTAGCACTGAGATTTTAAAAAGTGCCATATTCAAGGCTCTTTCAGGGTTAGAAGACTGAGACCCATCATTATTATTAGTATTTGGCATATTGGGTATGCCACGGGGAGTTTGCCAGACTCTGCTGTGTGGGCAGGTTACATTTGGTAGCCTGCTAGATTGTCCAAAGTAAGAATGAGATAATAAGATGTCTTGTGGCACAAATGCGGCTGCGTGCTTCCGGTAGCTGGGATTTATATCTCTGGGTCTTAGCCGTTGATGGGATTAAACGGTGCCAGCGGGCCAGTTGGTGGGTGTGACCCTTGCCTACTGGAAGATGAAGGATCTGGGTGGAGGATGCCCAGCTCCAATCCGAGCAGGCTTGGAGATCTCAGCCCCAGTACCTACATGCCTTTGTTCCTCTGCCGGTACCTTCATGCGTGTGGACAGTGGTCTCAGCATGGTTGTGGCTGGCTCTGGAGTTCTTCGGCTGCCGGAGCTCTTCTCGGGGCGGGGAGGGAAATTCAACCCGCCCCTACAAGGGGCCCCGGCTTCCACAACGTGGGGAGATATTCAAGCCAAACACCATTTACATTAAATATATCCGCACTACAATCTCACCACCAGCTGATTATTTTATTCTACCTCTTTATAGCTATAGCACTTTGAGCAGAACTTCATTATCATGTTGGTCTCATTCTCAGAATTATCATTTGTGCTTTCATATGTGATTATTTACTTAGAATATGTATACTAATGGATATTTTAGAATTTATATTCATTTTCATAATCTCTTCAAGTACATTTTTCACCCCAAAGATAATCTTTTTTTTTCTTCTTTTCTGAGAAACCAGAATTCCTTTCTTCTTCGCCTCCACTTAGAAATAACAGTACGGGGGTATGGTGCTGCCAGCAGGTCAATCTGTACCCATGAGGCGAGTGCAATAGCAGCTTGATGGCACTGTCAGGCTATCAGATACCCCAAAATTGTTGCTGTGCCTTTGGCCAGACCCCAAAAACTTGGGGCAAAGTTTGCCAAGAAAGTAAACGGCCAAAAGTTAGGTATGTGGGAGACATACCCACAAACCACCTTAGGCTCAGCTATATAATTGGAGGCATGGCCTCTCTGGTTCCTGATCAAACTGCTTAACAGCCATGATCGCAGAGGCTCAGAAACAAATCTCGGAACCCAAAAGCTTTTGGCAGAAATGCGTCCTGTTCCTGCAGTAGGTTACTGGGACTGGGCACTTTAGGTGGGAATAGGTTTTGTGCCTTGGCCTGTTCCTCTTGGCGGCCTGGTGACCGTCATCCTCCAGAGGCCACTTGGACAGTCAGGTTTGGGCCTGCAGTGATGAGACATACGGGGCCTCACCAGATGGCTGTGTAACCCAGCCCTTTCCTCCCCATCCCAGCGAGAACTCGAGTCGCCGCCTACAAACGGCCTCTCTGGCTCCTGATCAAGCGATTAATGGCCATGATCCCAGAGACTCAAAAACAAATCTCAAAACCCAGTGGCTTTTGGCAGAAATGCATCTGGATTGCATAAACGGCCATGGCTCCAGAGGCAAAAGGACTTAATCCAGAGCCCAGCAGCTTGCGGCAGAAAAGTGAATGGACCATGCATCAAACTATGGTGCCATGCCTCCCCAGGATGAAAAGGGTGTTGCTCCCTTCCGCCTTTTCTCCCCACCCCCGCAACCCAGCAGCAAGGTGGCTGCTGCCTCAGAGCTTATAGGAAAGCCAGGTGTGAGCCAGCAGTGATGGGGCAACTGCAGTCTCATGGGAAGGGGGGCGGTACTGGCTCATCCTTCACACCCTACCAAGGTCCTGAGTTACCCCCCACAAGCAGCTCTCCGGCACAGCCATAACACCACAGAAACCAATCTCTAAAATTATCTGGCTCTTTGCAGAAATCCAAAATTGCATGGCCGCAATAGTGGCCGCGCAACATTATATGATTCTCATAACCAGCTATAGAAAACAAAGTATTTCACAATGCCTTTTCAGCAATTCTGATTGTTGGGGGGGAAATTCTAAACAATAATGGTGCATCTTTTGTCAAAATGATAAATGTAATCAATGTAGAGAAGAGTTAAGTAGAAATCATCTGTCTCACAGGCATTGGGTGGGGTGGGAGGGAGGTATATTGGGGTTCTTGGTGGTGAAATGTGAGTACTGGTGAAAGGAAAGGTGGTTGATCATTGTTTGACCGAGACTTAAACCTGAAAGCTCAGTAAATTTTCCACAGTTGTTCAATAAATAAATATAAGACGAAAAATAAATAAATAAAACTGAAAAAAAAAAGCAAGGTGGAGTTCATGTCCAATTCAATCAGCTAATCAGTGGCTGAATAAATAGCAGTACTCCTACATAAAAAAAAGAGAGAGAGAGAGAGAAAACAGTAGGTAAGTGAATCCTGAAGGGAGGAGTGACACAAGGATCTCCTGGAAGCAACTTCTTGAACAAGTGACAATCCATGGAGAGGGCAAAGAAAAAGAAAAAAATGTCCTTATTGGTAGGTAATTTCAAGAATTAACTTTGAGACATTACAAGTAGCAATTGTTTACATATAAAGTCAAATACTCCGAATATACTAAAAGAATCATCATTAATTTTTCATAGGTAATATTTAAACTTCCTAATAGAAGATAGAAATGTCTAGCTTAGAAATGCTGGGATAATTTGAGGTGAAGGATATCAATGGGTAATGAAAAAATAAATGAAAATATCTGGGAGAGAACAGGAGATCAAAGAGATTATATCTGTATTCTTTTTGAAATAAATGCAATCACTGTCAACAATAAAGAATAACAACTTTAAAATTTTGTACTGTGTTCCCTCTGGTTCTGACATATTTTGACAAACATGTTCTTAATTATGTGCCAGAGATTAAAATATTGTGTACTGCAGTTAAGATCAAATATTGAAGATAATAAAAAGAAATGTAGAAAGGAATTAACATTTGAAATGATTTTAATAGCATATAAGTTCCCTTGTTTAGGGGGAAACAGTTTATGAGATATATGCCCTTGATGTTTTAACATTAAATTATTCAAGACAACAAATACTATATAGCATAAATTATACAAAACAATGATTATAGATAAATTAAAGTATTCAGTCATATTCCCTATTAAAAAGAAAATGGAATTAACAGAAATTGAGAAAAGATGGGTTTTAAGCAGCCATGCCAAGAAATAAGACATAAATTATAAAATGTTAACTGTATTTGCCATATTAGATTGATCTTATCAGAACCAACATAAACTCACCACATAGAGATAATTTTAAAACAGAAAAGAGTAAAGAAATGAGACAATCTGAGACAAAAATTAGTTCTCCGTGGCAACAGATTAGGCCAGGGAAGTTGACAGATTATAAGCATAGAGCTACCAGGTCAGACTAACCAAATATTTGTTTTTCCTTTTATAATGTTTATAATATGAAAAGGTTGGTCTGTATTTACTTCACTTACAAGTTACAATATTTCTTCAACATTGTTCATGATTATATAATAGGTTCAAACTGATTTGTCAAATAGTTGATTTCTTGCAGCAAACAGAAAGCAGCAAAATCAAATCAAATTAATTAAAGGAAATGGAGATTCCTTTGAAAGAATCCAAAAAAAAAAATTGAAAGATTAGAAATCTGCAAAAAAAAAATAGTAAAATTGAGAAATAGGAATGAGAATAAGCTAACAGGTTCTCCAAGCTTCTTGTAATCAATGGTATCATTAGAGATTGATTTCCAATGGAGAACAAGGGACTATTGTGATGTTTCACCTAAAACAACCATGAAAGATCACTGTCTTGGGAAATGTGACCTGCTGTTATAATGTTGCTGTAATCTGCATCAGTTTGTTTTTTTTCAGTGAACCAATTCAACAGTAGCTTCCTAAAAACTCTAATATATATATATAATATTTTTATATTATATATATTTGCCAAGTGTGTATTTCAATGCTCACTAACAAAATAGAGTCCATAGACAAAGAACATAAAAATTAAACTCAGATTTTGTTCAGGGCATCATCAATAAATGATTGGTGAACAAGAAAGATATTCGGACATATATTTTTATATTCCTTTATAATTAATTCAAAATTTTCTCTTAACACAAAGTCCAAGCATGTCTAAAAATTTAACTCCAGATTTGTTACATTCCTGCCAGGGAACCAAGGATATTTCTACAGGACTCAAATCTATTTTTCTTTAGTTTAGAACAGTGCTACACAACACCCCTAAGGAATTTTAGAAGTAGCCAAACATTTTAAAATTAAGTTTTCATTAGATGCTTGTTTTCCTTGAAAAGGGAGCAGCTGTTAGTGCTGGCAGAATCCTCCTCCCCACCCTACCCCCATCTGAGTGCAGATCAAAAACAATTTGCTTTGTGAATAATCTACAGTATGACAATTTGTCTACAAATATGTCAATGCCTGTTTACCTCCATGTGTGTCAATTGGATTTACCCTCTTTATTTACAAAGAGGAGAAGGGTAAGGCGTTCTTGACAGCACCCCTGCCTGCAGTCCTGGCACTGTCACCTCTCCCCCACTTCCTGTTGTCACTGAGAACCAGAGGGAGTGACAAGCCACATACTGTGCCTTGTGTGGACTTTGCAGGATTACAGCAATGATAAGATTAGAGACCTCATTTTCTCACGAAGAGAGTAAGGAGTTGTTCATAAAGAGGCCTTCTATATAGTAGTTTCAGTAAGTCTGGAAAGATTCTGAATAAACGACCATTTCCAAAGGAATCTTTAAAAACACAAGTGGTGGGGACTGGAGTTAGACTTTTTCATTCTTCTATCACTTCCTTCTATACCAAACAGCTGATGCTTGCATTAAAGGAAGATAAAATAATTGGCTTATTCAGCATCTCCCAGATTTCTAGGAAGAAAAATAAAAGTCAGCTTTAGCTTACTTATATATGAGTGCATCCTTCTATCTCTGTTTATGTCACCCTGCATGATGTATAATCTACCCAGTGTATTTAGTATGGAAATGAGTGAAGCCTATTGCAGGGCACAGTTAGCTTATTCTTTTCACATAGACATTTGTGCTGTGTGTGTATATTCACAAGATTAACCTAAGCTAGTGAACCTGAGAACTAAACTGGCTAGTTTCCATGGTCTGTGGACTATTCATGTAGATCTTAATGTTTTAATTTTGTGACAAACGATAAATGTTCTATTTCATAACATCCAGCAGCAGCATTAAGTGTTAGTATAACCGAACTACTAGTCTCTAGTAAATTTCTGAATGTTTTTTACCTTTTACATTTTGTTTTTGATATTTAGAGACACTTAAAAATCAGATATTATCTAAAGGAAAAATTTATACAGAACATATTTCCACTTATTACATAAAAATGTATTATAAGGCTTTATGAATCAAAAATAGGAAGTAAGATGGCACTGATGCCGTTGAAGCCCTCTCGCTCTCCTGAACCCTGCTCACCATTTCACTCTGGGTGACGCACAGCTCAGGGCACCAGGTGTGGAGTTCCGCGTGTGATCCCTGCTGGAGCTCTGCGAGTGGCTCCTGCTGGACATCGCTGTCTGCTTTTCAGGACTGGGACAGAGTGGCATCGGCGGGGCAAGGAAAGACCACAGTGGCGGCCACAGCATCACTGCCTCCCCCAGCTGGGCCAAGTCACAACACCATCAAGCGTGGAGCAGTGACAGTGGCTTGCATGGTGACTTGTCCACTGTGGTATGCTGTCCGCCAACCACTGAGTGACTTGGAACTCGGTATAGGTGTTCGACCTGGTACAGACCCTATGCGATAGGATCTTGCTCTGTCAGCTGTTTGACAGTTCTGGGCACACTCCATCCACCTCAAGATCAATCTGAAGCTGCAGGCGCTGCCCAGAGACGTTGTTGTCAGTGTACAAATTGTTACAAGAGGCCGGTCACCAGGAGCTTACATTCCGTAGTCGGGAAACACCTGCAGGGATGATTAGAGATCCCCCCAAAAGCCTCCATCCTTCCTCTGGAGAGACCAGCAAGCTACGGAGGGTATCCAGCCCGCATGGCAGAGCCTGGAAAGCCACCCATGAAGTACCAAATATGCCAACAACAGTAGCTAAAATGGGTCTCATTTTCCTAACCCTGAAGGAGTCTCCAGCTCAGCTGGGAAGAACTAGAGGGCTCGTACTAAGCAGACCACATGCAAGTCAACGGGCAGGAAGGTGCCCTGCAAGCAGCTGGCCACCAAGGCACTCCGCAAGAGCACACCAGCCACCGGTGGTATGAAGAAGCCACACTGCTACCGGTCAGACACCTTGGCTCTGCGTGAGATCCTCCAGCTGCTGTTTCAGCAGCTGGTGAGCAAGATCTCCAGGACTTCAAGACCAACCTGCTGCTCCCAGAGCTCAGCCATCATGGCACTGCAGGAGGCATGTGAGGCCTACCTGGTGGGACTCTTCGAGGACACCAACCTCTGCGCATTCCCCACCAAACACATCACCATTATGCCCAAGGACATCCAGCTGGCATACCACATCAGTGGAGAGAGAGCATTAAGTTTATGATGCTAAAATCTCCGGGCTGGGACAAATGGAGACGCTACTTGGCAGTCCTCATGGGGGCTTCCTTCTGATCCTGCACTCAGGGATAGTGATCTCTGGTGGGCTGAAAGGTGTTGAGGGATATACCTTGGGTCAACCATGTGTAAGACAAGCATCTTGCCCACTCTTTGACCTCTCCAGCCCCTGAAAATCAAATTAATTAAAAAGAATTCTAAGGGAGTCTGGACACATTTAATCTAATTTTATTTTCCTTTGTACCATACCAACGCATAATTACAATTGATCTTCCTTCAAAATATTAAGGAAATGAATATATGCTGTCCCATGGCAAGTAACTTGAAAGCCGGTATTGTTGGTTATGCTTGCCAATCCAACTATATTTAAAGGTGAGATTCAGTGTCTTCTTAAGCCATCTGAGAGAACAAATGCCAGTGTGCCAGTGATGTAACAACTTCAATCTGATAATTATTTTTGAGTTCTGAACTAAATTGTGAAACTAAATAAAAATAACTATGAGGCCTTAAGATTCTGGGTATCACATTGTAGGTTTATTTTTATATATAAAATAGTAATTTGCAGGTCCTACTTCTGTGTTATCAGTTTCCAATTGAAAACAAGGGACTCCTAGGACAAGCATGGCTAACATGAAAATTTTTATTATCAACTTTAGATCACTCTTCCTTTGTTTTCACTCCTACTTTTTGTTTGTTTGGGGCCACATCTGGTAATGCTCAGGGCTTACTTCTGGCTCTGTGGTCAAAAATCAGTGTTGAGGGGCTGGAGAGATAGCACAGCGGGTAGGGCATTTGCCTTGCACACAGCCGACCCAGGTTCAATTTCCAGCATCCCATATGGTCCCCTGGGTGACCACCAGGGGTGATTCCTGAGTGCAGAGCCAGGAGTAACCCCTGTGCATCGCCAGGTGTGATCCAGAAAGCAAAAAAAAAAAAAAAATCAGTGTTGATGGTGTTTAGAGAAGCATATGTGGTGCTAGGGATCTAAGCTGGGTTGTCCATGTGCAGGGCAAAGTGCCTTACCTGCTGAACTATCCCTCTGGCCCTGATTTCATTCTTTTCTCTGTTATCTTTGGGTAACCTCAGTTCTGCTGTTGTTATAAGGTGTAACATCAAAATCTTGACTGTAAATTTCATGAAGCACTCTAGCAAGATTGTTAACAAAAAATATGCCACAAATTTAGAGAAAAGTTTCAAATGTCAGAGAACTAGAAACACAGATTTTTACTATAGGAATTTGTTGTTGTTGTTATTGTTAATTTAATGTGAACAGATACATTGTAATTTCAAATTTTAAGATTAACATTTTTAGTAATAATTTAAGTCTGGGGTTACACCCATAAACCATTTTCTGCCGGCGCCAAATAGTCTCCTAATCAGCCACCCTCCAGAACTCACAGCTGCTTCTCCTGGAAGGGAGCATTAAATGAGGCCCCCATAACCATGCCACTAGACTCCGCACCAGGCTGTTTTCACTAGGGGTGTCACAGAGTGGGGTGGGTGAGAGCCCTCCCCGCCCCAAGGGACCCAGTCCTGGCAGCCGACCACAACTACCCAACCTCCACCACACTTCAGGCTGCTTTCCACATGCTCGGGCCAAACTTCACTCATGAGTGAACATATTCCTGGACACATCATAAGACACTCCCTACTCATTTTCCATAATTATCAAACCATATTTGATGGGGTTCAGACAGTAGGCAACAAATCATCTTGGAGAACCCCGCAAGCTACCAAGAGTATCCCACCCACACGGCAGAGCCTGGCAAGCTACCCGTAGCATATCCAATATGCCAAAAACAGTAACAATAACGGATCTCATTACCCTGACCCTGAAAGAGCCTTCAATACAACAGCATTGGGAAAGACAAGTAAGGAGAGATTGCTAAAATCTCAGGGCTGGGACTAATGGAGACATTACTGGAGTCTCCTCAAGTAAATTGATGAACAACGGGATGACAGTGATACAGTGATACAATGAATTTAAGCCTATCAATACCAATTTTCTGGGGGAGAGAGAGGGGAGGGGTATTAATCTTGAAAAACAGATATATTCCAAGTAGTTTTCAGATATATTCAGATATAAAGTTATATTCCAAGTAACATATTTTAAATTAGGATTGGTATTTATGTGTTAGGAGCAAAGAGAGTAGAAAACTTAAGACGATATTTTACTAGTAGATGACAAAATCATGTTTATCTATTGTTGTACATATTCTTTTCTTCATTGATAATAGAATTTTCTTCAGATGCTTTAGAAATTAAATAGTGAGCAATAGACCAAAGTAATATATAATACAGCAAATGCATATAGTTCAATATACTGAGAACCATATACCACGTCAAACTCTACATGCCAACTTGGAATTAAATAGGCCCAGATCTGGCTCCATCTGACCCCTACAAATCCAGGTCAAAGTAGTTAAGAGATATAAATTCTTGTAGCTTGTAAGAACATATTTTTATGTAAGTTTCAACTCTTGTAAATACTATTAGACAAAAAAACACAAGAGCTAATTTAGAAATTCAGGACCATTTGCATAGATGAATCAGATGAAGTCATTGCATTGCCAGGGATTCAAAGTAAGTGAAAGATAATCTTGAAGGAGTAAACCTCATGCAACTGAAGACTGAATTTTTTTTTTTTTGCTGGTATTTGGAGTCATTGAGGATTCAATTATATTTCTCCTTTACTGTGTGCTGGAGCGATAGCACAGCGGTAGGGCATTTGCCTTGCACTCAGCCAACATGGCCGACCAGAGTTCGATTCCCCCGCCCCTCTCGGAGAGCCCGGCAAGCTACCGAGAATATCTTGCCCACATGGCAGAGCCTGGCAAGCTCCCCGTGACGTATTGGATATGCCAGACACAGTAACAACAAAGTCTCCAATGGAGACGTTACTGGGCCTGCTCGAGCAAATCGATGATCAACGGGAGGCCTTAGTATTTATAAGTATTAATAAAACTTTAGTATTTTAATAAGTTACTATTTATTCATTGATAGTTAAAATATTACTTACTGTGGCATTGGTCAAAAACTGTGGTATTAATTTATGTTTTGCTTTGCTTAACTTTTAATAAATAATTGTATTCACATGAAATAATTTTTAATATTCCATATATTAAGACAAGTTGTAAAATAAAATGATTTATATAATAAGTCATTAAAGCAAAATGTGATTTTATATCATTGTTTTTAAAAATTATTGAAAAAATTATTTGAAATATCAATTGCATAAAGATAAAAGATTTCCATTAATGTTTAAAAAGAAATTATTTTAGATGTTCTTATAGTCATGTGATATTGAATTATGTGAAATTCATTTAATACTCTTAATATTTCATGTTTTATTGGACCTGGGTCATGTAAAGTTGTAGCTCACTTTTTAGTTTCTGATTTCTTTTAGTTTGCAAAAGGATTTTACATTTGCATTTAAATAGGAAGGAAATGTGATAAAGATTTCAATTAAAAGCCTGTCTGTTTGGGTTAATTCATTTTTAATAGAAACAGTAAATATTTTTCAGTTGATATAGCTTTTACCACAAGATCAGTTCATTGTTCTTTTTTTATCTAGTTATGTCAGGTGGTACATAATAAAGAACACTATAATGTCAGCTCCTTCTGTTTAAGAAACATTTCTCATTTCTTCATTGATTTTTAAGGAACCAAATCAAATTTCTAAACAGTACTAGAGAAAACTGATGATGGCAAGTCATTGTATTAGTACAAAAGATTCTTAATAATATATGAAATATAGCTAGCGTCTTAACATAGGTGTGTTCAAATAAATATATACATAGACAGATACACATATGGAATAGATTTTTATCTTAAATTTAAATGGTAGGTTTGTTGAAAAGGAAAAGAGTAAAACTTCTCTCTTAGTTTTAAAGTTTGACTATACTTACAGAGTGTCATCTACATTGCGGGGATAGGTGCTATTCTCTGTAGGAAAAATGGCAATCTTTTAAGAGTCTACTCGTACATTATTCATCATTGAAGTGAGGGACATATTTATAACAAGATTACTAATCTTAATTGAGGCTCACCACTTTTACATTTCAAACTTGCTCTTTGAAAATTGGTGATTTATCTGCTGTTTGGTTTTAGGTATATTTTTATGCTATAAAAATGCAATTGCATGCAAATCAGTCTATGTTAAAATATAATGCATACGTTTTCCATGTTACAGGGTATTTGTTGTCACTGTTGTTTCTCTTGGGCCACACCTGGCAGTGCTCAGTGGTTACCCCTGGTCTTGCACTTAGGAATTACTCCTGATGGTGCTCTACAAAGCAAGTGCCCTATCCCCTGTACTATTGCTCTGGCAGTAGAGTTTTCTATTCTTTTGTTTGTAGTTACAGTGATCTAAGTAGCAAAATGTCTCTTTACATGCTTATTCTCTAAGGAAAAAAAATATACTTTCTATCTAAAAACCCTAAATCTGTACCGAGCATCCTTTTCAGTGAATGAATAAAGTCATTTAAATAAATAATTAAAGATTTTTATTATAACTGTGCAGCTCCTGCTAGTAGATCATCACAGTTGTGCATAAATAGATTAAATTTCTGTAATACTATCCAGGAGATATCTTGACAGTTGTTTTTTTTTCGTTCTCAGGTGTCTAGTTAAGGAGAACTCAGGGGTCCAATTCAGCCTTTTAAAATATTATCTTTTGACTAGACAGATTACTGCTTTGAGATGCAATGGGATTTTCCACAGCAAACCTTACAGAGGATTATGCTTCTCATAACTCACTAAAGGAAGAAAGGAATGACTAGGTGATGTAAACAGAGGGTATTTTAAGAATACATTTTTATATAGATCGTTATTCATTTGATTCTACCAAAACTCATAAGAAAAGGAGATGGCAGATGAATCAGAGAAAGTTCCATGTTATTTTGAGAAATTGCTCCTTGCAAGTTAGAAGCCCCCAAAATAGAATATTTCAAGTGTTAAAGTAAATTCGATTTCATTTATACTTATTTT